AAAAGAAGTATTTCATATCGTGGTGCTATCAAATGGAATAAATTAAGCCCTGATGTACAGTCTTCTGTTTAGTATAGATTATTTTTATTTGACTAAATTGTTGACATTTCCGTACTGTATAATAATTATGTTTTGTATGTCTGTTATTTAATTTCATTGTTTAACCTTTGGTTTCTTATAATGTACCGTAATGTGTAATTTATTTTGATTGTAAATAAGGTATCTCACGGCCATAATAAAAAACAGCATTGTATTTGTTGATTTGTGCTTTGTAAAAAAATAATGTTTTACTGCTTACTACTACTACTACTACTCAAATATTAATTTATGTTATTAATATATTAGGTCAATAAAGCCAATAAGGAATGCTGAAATATAAAATAAATCATTATACTGAACACTATGTAAATCAAAGAATTGTTTCCAACAACTGCGAAGGTATCTATTACTAACGCTACTTAACAAATACTGGTACAAGATGTATCCCACAGGTGCAAGAGTAACCAGGTTTGAAACCTGCCAATGCTGTTTTTGTTTCTGCTCTTAGTCTTCGGTATTATTATATTTTGCTGTAACTGCCTCGTCCTCCAGATGAGATGTTAAGCCTTTTGTACATGAAAAATGATCTGAGTAGACCTACACTATTCAAAAAGCATAGGGGAGCCATTAGCAGGCCTCATAGCTGATATACAAATTAACTCTTCGATTTCCAAAAAAAAGCTATAGACATTTTCATATTTTTAGAAAAATATAAGCAGCGTAATGTTGCCATGTTAAACCAAAGAGTATAAATAGAACAAGAGAACCAACTATGCTCATTTGGAGCATAAAAAATGATACGCTCTACGCAGCTATTGTAGGACGCCAACTAACGCTTGTATGTTTTTTATTACCCAGTACTCCACCGCGCACGGTCGGTTTGTCTGTTTATCTGTTCTCCACAAGATACAGTACTTTTGTTTTCTGCTTACTGAGTTTATAGCGTGCGTATTTCTACCACGCTGCGCAGGCGCCGCGCATCGCTGCACTGGGTAATAAAAAGTATATATAACCGTCAGTAGGCCTCCTACACAGCGTGACGTTTTTATGAACGGGACTTTGCTCTCCTGTTCTTTTTATACTCTTTGGTTAAACTGAGTATTGTGGCAATATTGTATACATTAATACAGAGAAGTCATAAATTTTACTCATGGTTTTGGCAATGTATTAGTAAGTCGATTCCAATAAATTACCCATATTTTAAAGCTTATAATGTGGAATGAATATTTTAAACAGTCCATTTTCATTTGTTTGTCACTCATGCTAGTTCTGGTATGGCATGCCTCAAATATTAAATGATTAGTATTAAAGGATTCATGTTGACTATATGTATGCTTAATATTAGGCCTACTGTATATAAAAAGTAGGTGTACTAACGTACACCTGTATTGTGACTGTAGTGTTTCACATGGGCGTAGGAAAGAACATGTATTTGGGAGATTATTATTTTCCATAAACCAAGATTGTTTCCCAAGCCCACTGTTGTTTATTATAGTGTTGAATAATTTCATCTGTTTGTACCAAATAATTTTATAATTAAAACTTGTTTTTATGTTTAAACTGTGTTGAAGAAGTCAATATTTTACAATCTGTTTCAACAGTTGTAAAAATTTAATCAAATACTGTTTGTTTAACTTGACATTTATCAGAAAACATGTGTTATGTGTTATTGTTAATGTTGTCCAGATGTACAATACAATGCATAACTAGATGAGGGTAAAAAATTGAATTTTCATGACTCTGACCTCCTTTGACCATTCTTCCGAAAAAATTGAATGGTTTGTTTGATTATTATGTAGGCCTACCATTTCACTAAATTTTATGATGATCCATTCATTTGGTTTAGCGTAATCTTGCTAACAGACAGACAGACAGCGGTGAATATATAGCCTCCTTGACGGAGGTAACTATAAATATTGAGTAAAAACAAAACACTCAGTTTTTACAGACAACTTTCTAATCATATCTGTAAAATATTGTATAGGATGTAATAATAATATTAAGTAGTGCAAATCTCACCTTTATGAACAAATAGCAAGTTCTAGAATTCATCATAGGTGAATGAAAATACAACCATAGGGAGATTTACATCTTTCATAATTGTAAATTTATTTTAATGGTGGTAATGATGATGATGATTGGGATAGGAATGAGAATAAGCATAAGGGTGATAGTGATGCAAACGAAGATAATAACTTATAGCTGACGGATATAAGTTTGCACTTGACAAACTAGTAAATGAAACTTATTCATCATCTAAGGAATGCTGCATCTAACTTAAAATACAATAAACGAATCCCTAGGAAATGTAGCTATCGGTTGTGCATGTACCATGATCCTCCTCATTCTATAATCATTGCGCCTGCAACCTAATCGATATTCAATGTAAAGTATCAAATGTCTTAAACAAGATGCCATCAAATATGACAGAATGCTGAAGTCAACCATTTCTGTTAAGTGTCATTAATACCTTAGAGGGTATGCATAGATATACTCACAATTTTTCTCTTTAAACCATCAAAGTGATCAATGTTATTACAAAACCAATTTGGCATATTCTCTAAGTTTCCAAAAAAGAATCTGTAATGTTGATGTTCACCTTTTGAACTTACTCAGTAATAAATCCACTAAAATACTAAAGGAATTATAGCTCAAGATTGTGAATTTACTTAGGTTTTTACTGGAATTTGATTTTAAATTACAATGTTATAGAAAATGTGAATTTTCATATAATTCTTTTAAAGTATTAGTACAGATGTTACTGTTAGACAGCTTTCAGATTCCATCTTAAATGAGGTAATGGAAATCCGGAAGCCATGAATACTATGTGATACATTTAAAGTGAGCCTGCATACTTTGTACAATATTAAGTCTATAATTCCAATTTTTTTTTTGGTTATTGTCATTTATTGTTTTATAGAAATTTGCTAAAATGTTCATTAATCACATTGAAAATATGTTGTAGTTTTGTTTGCAAATCTCTACCATGCAAAGATATATCTCTTCACGAAAATGATAGTTTGGCAAAAAGTCAAGTGGTAACCTTTGGCATAAAATTGGCTGTGTGGAGTGTCACATTTCACACATGAATAAACAGTTAGACTAATCAAGTATTCAAATTCAATGTAAATGGATCAATTCTGTTGGCTTATTTTAGAATTTTATGTTTTAGTGGATTTTTCTAGATCTTCAGGAGCTAGATAATTAATCAATAAAACTCCTTTCGAGCATCACGCCTATTGTAGGAAATCTGAGTTGATATGTAGATAGGTTTAGCATAGGATTGGCTGATGATATTGTACAAGAGTCTGCTTTAATAGTTAATGATTTATGATTTGAAAAGTTGGTTAGGATTTAAAATATCAAAATAGTTTTTACAGATTTATTTAAAATATTTGTAGTAACAAATCATGAATATTTTTTGTACCAGTAATGGATAATGTTTTAAAGTAAACTTAAATGGGCTGTAAATTACAGTAATTATTTAAAGCCAGAGCATTCCAAATAAGACATTTAGTACAGTTTTTGTATTTGAAAATATTGATATAAATTATGGTTAGAATTTTTGTAAAAAACAAATATTCAAAATTATTTTATCCTATAAAATATGTACATTTATGGCTAAAAATTCTTTTGACCAATTGTTTTTTTTTTTTTATTAAAGAGAGAATTTTCTTGTTGATTCATTTCATATTACATTTTCTCCTGACATAATTGCTGAGTTATTAATTCTTAATGTTTACATTATATTTACAAAGCGTTTAATATGAATGTTTTGAGATTGAACTTAATGCTCTCTTTTTCTTTCATCTAAAATAAAATATATATAATATTAAATATATTGATTTCCAAAATAGTTTTAAAAAATTATATAAAAGAATAAAGTAAAGAAATGAATTACTTTAATTAACATTAATTAAAACTTTATTTTAATGCAGAAGCATGTCTCTCCCAGAGGGTGCTATTCTACAAGGCCATGTCCCATTGTAGATATTAAAATTAAACTTAGAATGGAAAACAGAAGAAAGCAAATCAGAAGAATGGAATTTGAAAAGACAGCTAATTTATCCCATTCATACTAACAAAGTAAAATATGAATTATTATATCCAATGAAGGAAATTCTACAGACTGATAACTACTTAATGCTATAATTATCTGTACAAGATATTATAAGGTAATTTAAAGTCCGTCAAAAACAAAGAATTAATTTTGAAGCCCCAGAAAATGCTACCTATAAACCTATCCAAGGCTGACAACTCGGATCTGATTTCAATTTATTATTATTGAAGAATAAATTAGTGTGCTACATATCAGGCAGAAATTGAGAGGGAAATAATTAGTATACCTCTTCCAAGAGACATGTGAATATCCTCCTCTTATAATTGCCTCTTTTTTGCATTTGTAAGTCCATTAGAATCTAGTTCAATTTTTAGTGTTTATTTTCTTAACAGATTACATGTAAATGATCAGTAATTTTTAAAAATGTATGTTTGATGAATAATTTCCATAAGTTTTGTGAACACTTTAAAAATATTTGGCAAAGACAAGCCAAATCAGTTGATTTTAGGAAAAATCTATATTAAGTTACGAATTTATTGGTTTTTAACATACAGTAGAGTTTAGAGAACATTTATTGAGAAATCAACTTCCAAAGTTTACAGCACATTGATAATGTGGAAGAGTCAGTGCTGAACGACAGGAAAAACTACCTTGGTAGAATAATAGATTGGCACACATGATATCTATACACATTTATACAAATCCTAGAAATTTTAAGAGAATCCGACTAAGATGTAAGTAGGTATTTATGGTTCAAACATCGTAAAATTATTATTTTACTTTATTTGGTATCTGATTAAAATCGTTCCAGTCATTGATGTTGTAATTTTTATTGTTATTCAAAAATGTTATACATAAAAACATATTTAATCCTTTTCTTTTGTATTTCTGTCATAGGATCCACGAAGTCAGCACAAATTTAAAATTCACTCCTACAGTAGTCCGGCATTCTGTGACCACTGCGGCTCGCTTCTGTATGGGTTGTACCACCAAGGAATGAAATGTAGCTGTAAGTATTCATTTAATTTTATTAACATAAAGTGATGTACTGTCTGCCAAAAAACTTGTTTTAATATCATAGGTGATTATATAATTTTATTACATTTGTTTTTTCTGCTTAGGTAAGCTTAAATGAGTATTCTATTTTTACCAATCTAGTTTGTACCATAAACCGCTTCAATATGTAGAGACACGCTCCAAAGCCTAAAGAAAATGAACGACGAATTAATCATTCGATGATAATCATGACAGGAAATTGATTGGATGTAAAGAATTGCATCTGAAATTATTAAAATTTCATATAGAATTATGTATCATGGTTTTAAGCAGATGAAAGAGGAGCAGCAAACAACAGCATATTATAGCAATGAACAGCATGGCGCAGCATGAGAGGAATAGCAAATACCCTTGCCAATTACATACATTATCTGCTATTCTCCTACTCTACAACTAAAGAGCATACAGTTCCTTAGGTTTTCAATAAGTTTTTCTTTTACAATGATTCTCTATAACATATAGTGTTTTTATGGTGCTTGAGAGTGGTTTTTACCATCGTACATCGTGTTTTAGCTAGTTCGTTCGTTCGTGTGATATGAACTGATATCTAGTTGCTGTTATTAATTTGACTGGAACAGTTGTAGCAGGATCACCAATGACCAGGTTAACAGCATGACCCTCCCATTTATACTCCTGGGTGAAGGGAGGCAAACTTAAGTAAAGTGGACACAAGCAGTGCGGCGAGCATCGGTTTTGAACTCCCGATCTTACAATCAGTCCAACACCTTACACGCTACACCATCTTCCAGCTGCACTCAAATGAATAATTGCCTTAGTAAAAAGAAAAACAAAGATATTAATGTAATATTTTTTTTAGACTGTTAAATATATCCGTCGTATTGTTAATCGAAATTATAATATCAGCTCATTTGCATACAGACTGGTACCCAATTCTCAGTAGAGAGAGACTAGACAGATAATGTGGCCTGCCGGAGGACACAAGCAATTGGCTGGAGTAAATTGATACTAATATTAATTAAAAATTGGTGCAACATAAACCTAAAGTAAATTACAAGACATAATCAATACCATTCTCCATCGTTAACATCACGCTTTTCCACGAAATCAACTATTGTATTAAGCCATTTCTATAATTAACTATAAATCATTCTTAAATAACAAAGTATATTACTTATTTTTGGTTTACATGTTACACACCCAAAGGGTATTTGATGTTTTATATTAATTCTTTTATAGCCTTAAATTATATTCTTAGAAATATTGAACCAGTATGAAATTTGAATTAATATACAGTATGTAGGCCAAGGTATCTTGTAGGCAATAAAGTGGATTTTTTTTTTTTTTTGCTAAGCAAACTATACTTTTTTATTGACAGCCACAATTTTGCCATTTTGATTAAAATTGTATAGACATATACGCTTTGTTCCTAATACTTAAGATTAATGTTTGAGATTTGGATTTGATTTGCCCTTCAATTTAATGTTCTTAATAGTGTGGGATTGTACAAAAAGCGAGAGAGCTTCTGTTTGTGTATTTAAGAGCTCATGTTGGAATTACTCTTTTTTGTCTTCAAAATTAACTGAGCCTTTTTATGTGTGTATGTGTGTTTATGGATTTGAAATATTAGTAAATCAATATTTTTGAATTTTTACTTGACCGTCTAGTCTGTGCAATAATAATCTTGTCAAACATCATCAAGCTGATTTGTTTGTTTCAAGATTATTTCAGTGTGCTTTAATAAACGTGTTTGTGTGGCTTTTGTTGCTGGATCTGTTTTCTTCTTAGTGAAGAAAAAGATAAATTTATTTTCTGTTCAGTTTTGTCGTGTTAATATCTGTAAAAATGGTTTTATTTCACGATTATCTAGTTTGTATAATGATTTTGTTACAAAATGTCCTGAAGTTGATATCTTTTCTAATTCTTTAAATATGTTTAAATGTCACCTTAATAATCATATTTCTCATTAGTGCTGTATGTTTTTAGTGTAATTTGTAAATTTTTTAAGTGTTATTTAAATGTTATTTTAATTGTAATTATAAATACTTTTTAGTAATTTTTACATATTTATTTTAAATATAGCAATTTTAATTATAATTATCATTTTATATCTTGTGATTTTATTGTATTGATTACTGTACATTTTTTATGTTTATTACAATTTTCGCCTGTAAAAGTGGGAACGAAGAGTTCCTATTGGACGTTTGAAATAAAATAAAATAAAAAATAAAATATTATGAATCAAAATCAAATTGTCAGTTAATAGGTAAAAAGCTAATTTTTTGATGTTTAATTTTTTTTTTGTAATATATTTCTTTGCAGTTGTCTAGAAAAATTAATAAACTATAGATGATTGCCTTGTCACTCACCTCCTTTCAATGTGGACAAAGGTGGAACATGTTACAGTCATAATTCATTTTAGTTTGCGCTCTCATTTGACATACACTTACATATATTCTTATATATATTAGTTGCCAGCAGCAACTCCAGTTTCATCATATCAATCATTTTAACACTTTCCATAATTTCTTACACAAAATAACATCTATCATAAAAGTGAACATAGTATAGTATGATTTTAGTAGCAGAAAAGAAGAAAAGAGAATATCCAAAATCTAGGTGATCAAATTTCTACTTCCGCAGTTGAAAAATAAGTAGGCCTACTGTTTTATTTCATTATGCTTTACACACTATTTTCAAGGATATGCCGAACAGTGAACTTAATCACACTTTAAAAAAAAAAAAAATCAGCCAAAACCATACTGTGGGCCTTTACCAGGGGACAACATCCTGTTATGTTAAATTCTGTAAAGTAAGGAATGGGGATTTTTTTGCATTATTTATGAGTTTTTCAAATACAGTAATAACTTTTCTATTTTCTAATTATGTATCTCCATACCAAAATATGATAATATTAATGAGTTATGATTAACTTGTATGAATAATTCATAATTAATTAGTGTTTTGAAAATATGAATATTCAAAATGTAGTTGGCATTATTGCTTTTATTGCATGCGGCAAAAAAGATATTAGCTGAACCGTAGTAGTATAATAACAATTATGATTATCATTCAACGCTACGATATTGCAGGCTGTATCGAGCACAAATAAAAGACTTGGAGCTAGTGTATTGACAAAATTATTAGCAAATTTTTATTTGCATTTCATGAAAATTATGACCCAAATCAAATCACTTTTTATTATTCAAAACATAAAAAAAACGGAAATTCATTACAATGGTTTTGCTGCAGAAGATATGTATTCATAAAACTAAAAAAAAAAATATACATCAAGACACTTGATTCAGTTGTCAATAAAATTGGATGAAATATTAGGCAGTACTGGCAAGTACAGTACCATCCCCCAATTACGAACCTCCTATTTACGAACTCCTGATTTTACGAACTGAATTTGCGGCGATGACGTCATCACGAACGATCGTTTTTAACTACAAAAACACTTTAAAATGTATTTAAAAGTTTCCGAAATAATTTAAACTGTTACATCAGCTAAGAGAGAAAACATTCAAACCAATCAAGTGATAAGAAACTAAGTTTAAAGCAAGAAATATCAAACGTTTTCAACCGAGATATGTTATATTTGAGCTGTGCATGCTTGTTCAGGCACACTGTACAGTAATCTCACTTTGTGATCATTGGAGGCGCTTTTCACGTGGATCCATGATCTTTATGAAAAGAATAATAACACTCGTTTTAGGGAATTTATGGTCATGTTTTCATTTGGAAATCACTCCAAATGAATACTTCAGTGAGCACAGGTAATTTTGGCTTCTGTAAAGTATTATTTTGTTGTAGAAAAAGTAAAATCCAAATCATATTTTGTGACAAAAAATATTTCTCCCATGGCAAGGATTAGGCCTCTGTACTTTGTAGCATAGACCTATGCTGAAAATTCAAACTCTGAATTACAAATTTTTTTCATTTACGAACCCTATTCGGATGGAGAGGTACGTAATTGGGAGATGTTACTGTACTGGCTGATTGGTTGAATTGGTGCTATTATGACTGATAATTTTTGAATTCTATAGGCCTATTCATGTTGTAACTATAGTACCCAAAGTAAGACTTTCTGAAAGAGACACCTATTGCTTATACTGTAGCTCCTATAGAGTTTCCACTTGCATTGTTTTCTTGACCTACAGTAATTATCATGGGCGCAGATCATGGAAATCATGGGTCTTGAATAAATAATAAATTATGTTAGGAATATCTGAATTAATATACCATACAATTTTTTTTTTATGGCCAATATGTCATAGTGTCAAAATTGATTGATTTTGTGTGATGATGGGTATACATTACAAGTAATAAAGTTATCGTGTATTGTGCCTGACATTTGCATTATATCTTATCATTGCATGTTTCCAGCCTTTAGTCCTGGTGGTAGTACAAAAGATTCTCCAACAAATCCAAAGGATCCCTGATGGGTAAAACACCAATTTCATCCCCATAAAAAAATTTAAAGAATAGGCACCCCAGCATACCATAAAAGTGGCACTTTCTAACGGTACATTAAAAATGTTTTTGCAAAGCATTGCTTTTCGATGAAATAATTGACTTCACAACGTAATTATCCAGGGTTCCTCAATGAGGTTACTGTGCTGCTCGGACTCCTGACTAGTGCCACCGTCAATTAGCCCATACAATTAAAAAGCAAAATGAAAAGTCTTCACCTTATAGATTTAGCATTCATTATTCGGTATCAATCCTGAATTAACATACGATTCGTCTTAAAAGTTTAAATGCTGTGAATGTTTAATTAATGCATTTCACATTTAAAGCATTAAGTATGTAATGTACCCACAGGGAGTGATTGCTGTCAAATGTCTGGGCTTGTAAAATTACATCTAATCCTGGCAAAGAGAGTGGGGCTATAGTTATATGAGATCAAAGTTATTTTTATTGGCTATAATACAAAGAAATATGACATTAAATTGTGGTGTGGACATTTTCATGCCATTATATATGTGCAGGTAGGTGTAATGACAAGAATTGCCGAAGCAAGTCACTATATTTTACTCGCCCAGTAAACCCATGTCTTCTCAGATGAAGACTCAAAACTAGAGGTCTGGTTACACATCCTGCTTATATACACTTTGAAGGTCCCATTGCATTTTTTTGGAAAAGTAGGGGGTTACCCTCATGCTGTTTTTCATTTCCCTGTCCCTGTCGTGTAATGATGTGTACATGCTATAGGGGCTGCTACTGTCACGGACCACACCCATTTCGTCCAATTATTTAAAAATTATACAACAAAAACATGAAACAAAACACCCTTGACATTGACAGAATTAAACAAAAGCAAATATAATTGCTCTACAAATATTTTCTGCCCCCAAGGGTGATACTTATTTCCCAACCAAAATATTATTATTATTATTATTATTATTATTGTTATTATTATTATTCTTCTTATTATTGTTATTATTATTATTACTACTAAAATAATAATTATTAATATCAGGGCATGCAAGCAATTATTATTAAAGTCTTGAAGATTTGCTATACACTTTGACATTGTAAAGCAAAGAAATATTGTCTTAATCGCAATTACACACCCATTGGACAATGGCACAATTTGCGTGTAACAATACATTTAATATCTTTTTCACCTCTCGTGTACAAAAACAAAAACTCACATACAAATAATTTCCTGAAAAATGTTTAAATTGTTCTTTCACATAGGCCTATATAAGCATCATTTTTCATAGTTGCACTGTGAATCTGTCATTTCACACACTTTTGATAAGATAAATGTGACTGACCACTCATGCCAGCGTCTTACAAATGTCAAATAAAGAATCTTAATAAACGTACCACAGAAACGAGATGCTCTACTGTAGTTAAAACTCTCGTAAATAGGTCAGCTGAGTCATGTTATGAGTGCGTAGCTTAAACATGAGTTCAGACATCTGTCAGTTTTGTTACAATAGACACTAACATTGATTTTCCATAGATGCAGACCTGACAATTTGTTAATATTTTATATTGGATGTCCTTGAAATGTAGGTCTAATAATTACTGTATCATCGAGATAAAAATTTAAATTTCTAATTTTTTTGGTAGGTAGCATGCTCTGAATGCTCGGTCCATGAAGCTATTATGCCGCCATGGTCTGCACCTACATTCCAAGCCCATAGCGAGGGGGGTTTCGAGGGATTTGAAAGAACCTCCCTTTTCCAGTAATGTCCTTTTAAAATCATTACTAAAAGTACAATTTGCATGAAAGTTTTTGATATTAACTCCAAATATTTGAAATTTGGCATTTTTATTGCTATTGCTGGACATCTGAGGTGGTATATCTTTAAAATTTAACCTAACCATGGTAGGGCAGAGGTGGATGTGGACTCAAAGTGCCCTTTTGTGAAAAAATTAGAACATTCCCCTCCCCTCCCCTTTAAAAAAACCTGTCTACGGGCTTGCATTCATGCATCAATCATTATATTAATATACGATTCTCTTCTCATAATTAATTTGTTTATTCCATTTGTAATCAACACATCATAGTGATCTCAGTATATGCTGGGTCTCCTATACAATTATGACAGAGATGTTCCCTGCATTTGCCATAGCAGTAGGAAAATGCAATAATATACCTTTAACATATTTACTAAATATTGCAATCTTGAATGATCATATATCAAAATGTAGATACATCCAGGTAAGATGATATATACTAAGGGTTTACTCTGGCCATTCTTGTCTATTGCTAAGGAATAAACAGATTAAAAGGAATAAATATCGACCTGAATATTAGGCACCAGACAGATGCATGTAGCCATTTAAATGCTATATTTTCTCGGAGCTTCTTGAATTTTTTTTTGCCAGACGGATTTGAATTAATTTTACAGAGTAGTGTGGTTTCAGGTTCCTAATCGATATTTCTTTCTACTTTGTCAAAAGGATTTTCATGCAACATTATATGGGATATGATTGGTTTTGGATAACATTCGTTATTTGCATGAGTCTTTCACTTGGTAATATTATGTATTTGCTATGATATATGACATCCTCATAGAAGGGAAATAATAAGCCACATTAAAAGGGAAATTAATACTCTTATAGTAGAATATAGGTTACAATCATACATGTTTAAATATTGTGTAAGAAAAATAATTATCGTTGGTAAGGCGAGATTTTTTTTATACCTTGATAGCGGCAGTTTGGCGCAGCGGTTGAGGTTCGGGCTTTCAATCGTAAGGTCGGGGTTTCGAGTCTTCGCTGTGCAGATTCGCTTGTGTCCTTGGGCATGGCACCTTAGCTGCATTGCTTCAGTCCACCCAGCTGTATCAATGGGTACCAGCAAACTGCTGGGGACTAACCTGCAACGGACTAGTGTCCCGTCCAAGGGGAGTACAACCCTAATCCGCTTCACACTACAGAAACTGGGGATAAGCTCCAGCCCTATGAGCCCTTGTGGCTCAGTAAAGATTAATTTAGTTAGTTAGCGACCCCATTGCCCGCCAATGATATTTTAAATAAAAATAAAATTTAATTTTCGGCCAATTAGCGCACCCACCACCACGAAAAAATTGAAATTTCAGGACAAATATTTATTTATTTTATTTATTTATTTTTTTTTAATTTTTATTACGCCTGCCGCTACCTTGAAATCTAAAAAAAATAAGATGTATATTTCTTCCTAATTATGTAAATTTATTTTTATTTTCTTCTCCGTGTGGATGTAAGGCAAATCTCTTTGCTAAATAAGAAAAAATTTTATTGTTTATTGTTGAATTTTAAGTTCGCTAAAAAAAGTATGAAAAAGTCTTGTCTAACAGTAAAATTAGTGTTGGTGACCTGCGACAGAATGCACTGCCACATATGTTTAGATGTGTTTCGTTTATATGGCACATGCCGCTGTAATTTCACTTTCAACAAGGCTGCCGGCATCATCGGCATAATACATTTTTTAATTAACTATATATACACAGTCACCTCTTAAGTGTTGGACATATGCCTAATGTGTTGCATACACAAGATCAGTAGGCACTAGCGAATCAAACACACAAAATGACATAATAAATCATTGTCTTTTATGTATAATAATAAATATTATATAAATATGTTAATAGTAACTAGATGCATACAATGATTAATTTGAGTCCTAAATATGTAAATGAGAATGTAAGAATACAAATTATTTTAAATTAAAAATATATTGACTTCCTTGTTTAAATGGTCAAATAATTTAACAACTATCAATGAAACACACATCAAAACAATTCAGTGTTAAATTTATACAAAATTACAACTAAAAAAAATATGATTTGGTAGAATCATAAAACTATACAGGATATAAAAAAACAATTCAGTGTTAAATTTATACAAAATTACAACTAAAAAAAATATGATTTGGTAGAATCATAAAACTATACAGGATATAAAAACTATCTATTATATATATATATAATATATATATACACACACACACCCACACACACACACACACACACACACACACACACACATCTTGATATTATTGTTGAAAGTATCCCATTCTAATTTTAATTTGAAGGCTACTAACTTAATTATAAAGTAGCAATTAAAATATATATTGAATCTGATATAGCTTTTACAGTATCTTTACATGGTGTACAACACTAAATTTAAGAAACAATTTCAGAATTTCAAAGCAGTGATGGGAAAAATTAGGTATTTTATTTTAATATTTTAACATGATTGCTTGACCTTAACATTGTAATTTCTCGTTATATTTCACTTGTTCATTTTTTTCAGCATGTGAAATGAACGTTCATGAACGATGTATCAAGCACGTGCCAAATCTATGTGGGTCCGACCACACGGAAAGACGAGGACGAATACACCTCTCTGTACAAGTGGATGGTGGAAAGCTACACGTAAAAGGTACTGATATACTTGGTGGAGTAGATGATATGTCTGGTAATAAAATGCTTATCTGAATTCAACATCTATCCTGTCCCACACAAAGTCTGCATTTTTTTCGGCTCTGGCAAATTTTTACTAATGAGCATATGTTTTTCAGTGCAAATGTTTGCCGAATGAATCTGAGTATATTGAAAGTTAAACATTCTTTTGAGCTATTTACGCATGAGACTATAAGCTGAGATAAACTTGCTCGTTATGAGACTTCTGTTGATCGATCAATCAACATTTTTACAAATAGTAAGGTAATAAAGCAAGAAGTAGTGACAGGCATCATTGTGAGTGTAATTGTTAATGATTTATTTCCATCTGGTATCAGAAGAGTAAAGATGACATTTATTTTTAAAAAAAATAGTATAATGTTGCTATCATGTTAATAGTAATGGTGATGATGATAAGATGACAATGGTAAAATAGTGAAAAAACAATGGTGGGAAAATGTACAGTATTGTATCATAGTCATCATGACTGATATCATCATCAACTTCATCATCCATATAATCAAATGTAATCAAATGAGGACCATTTGGATATCATTGTATTTTTTAGTATTAAAAGCATATATACAAAAAAAAAAGGATTTACAATTTACAAAGATCATCTTAATCTCCACTTATAATAATAATAATAACAACTTTATTTTAAAACTGAGTAAACTTTTATCAATATATTGGTGTTTTTCACAAGCCGTTTTTTGCAAGATGATAAAAATGAAATGAAGAAATTCAAATTAAAAAAAAACAACATACAGGAACACACATTGAAATACATACAGAGCAAAGAAAAGTAAAATACTAAAATATTAACATTATAAAGACTAAAGACTAAAAAGTGATGTCTTGACAATGTAGAACAGTTTAAAGTTTTTTATTTATTAGTAAAATCTCCATAATCATCATTCTCATCAACTTTGTATCATTGTTATCTTCAACATCATCATAATTATCATCAACGTCTTTATTATTATCACCATCAAGATGATTTTATTTATTTATTTACTCTTTCTTTTTACTGCATGCACTTTTAGTATGTGTACTGTTTTTCAAAGTAGTACAGTTGCATAATTTAACAAATATTGAAAAGCAATGCACGTGACATAAACATTCCTAAATATATGTATATACAATACAAATAATTAAGAATTAAGACAGGTTTTTAAAAGATAAAATAGTCATGTCCATGAAATTAGTTCCACAACTTTGTTGAACGATACAAAAAATGATCATTTTCATCTCCAGCAGGTATTAATCCTCATCCTCCTACATCATCTTTCCTCATCAGTGTACAGAAATCTACATTGAGTTCCATATCCATTACCCTCTTCACCAATATACACAATTTTTCATCAACAACAGCATCAATTTTCTCTTCACCTACACGGTCCTTGTCAAAACACATCACTCAACAACTCATTACCAACCTAAAGAACGCCTTCCTTGTGGAGGTGTTCTTAATGATGAATTATTTGCGAGTCTCTGCAAAGTCTGCTCTATATATTTTTCAATCAGTAGGAGATATTTTTCTTTGAATCTGGTACTCTATATTATCAGCCTGATTATTAATATACTCTATTATGATTAGAGAAAAAATGATGACTTTTGGATAACGTATCAAATACTCCGCATTTTCATAAGCATCATCATAATTATCAATTTCATTGGCAATCATCACATCATCAATTAATTATCAATTTTAACTCAATGAGCAAACTGTACAGCAGTCCAGAGGCAAAACAGCGTAACTGGTGACATTTTTGTTGATTTTGAGATAATACAAATTGGAAGTATATTAAACACTTCTGAATTTCAGGTCTCAACAATGAGTCAAAGACAGCACCACCATCTTTAAGCACAAAACTTAAAATCTAGTAAAACAATGTAAGCTGCAAGATTACAATTCAAAACGTATTTACGATGAAGGGAATAGTATTCAAAAGTTGTTTTGAGTTGACGGAACGACCTAAGCCAATGGCTGAAATTATTTCATTTACAAAAATATAAATTTTAAAAATTATAAAATTGTACAAGAACCATTAATATGTGTATTTACTTACTTTGTCAGACTATCAAATTGTTGTTGATAAAAAACTGTTGCATGCTATATATAGTTATGATATGATGTCATTATGACCATATTAAGTCATGTCATGACCATATTAAGTCATGTCATATGTTTTTGTTAAATATAACATTATAGTCTGAACAATGCTTTAGTCATGTACACTTTTTGTGATAATTAAATGATAATAAAAGTATGTACCGGTTGCGTAAATAAACAAAGTCTCTAAGTGCCATGTGTTACATCTTCCCCGAGGACTATAAAACAGCTAGTATTGGAGCACTCAAATAGTACGTTCATCCTAAGTTGGCCTATTTGCTAATTGTGTTTTCTGAGTATGTTTTTTTTGTTTTGTTTTTTTGGAATGAATGCTAGGCTTGTAAGTAGTAGAATGTTTATTCGTTTATTTAAATTCTTAAAATTGATTTCACATTAGGCAAGACTTTTTCATACCTTGTTTAGTGAGCTGCTAACTGCAAATATTGATGATTTGGAAAAAAAATGGAAGTTTTTCTTTATTTTTATTAGGCCTGCCCTCTGCTGCCTTTAAATCTCAAAAGATAAGATATGTATATTTCTTCATAATTATATAACTTTGAAGCATTTAAACATCCTATTTTACATTCATCAATAAAATGTTATTTTTATTTTCTCCTCCGTCTGGATGTTTGTGGCAAAACTATTTGCTAAATAAGAAAACAAAATTTTATTTTTATTTTTCTTCCGTCCTCCGATAAATTTAAAAAAAATTAAGTACGTGAAACAAGGATTGAAAAAGTTTCGCTTTAAAAAAAAAGTTAGATAAAATTAATTAATAGTAATTAATAGTAATTAAAATGTGATTTGTTACTTAAAATTTTTGTTCATGTGCAAGGTCATAAGTGAACTTAATTAATTAATGAAAACCTACTAATATTTATTTACTTGTATACTAAGAAATACTTTTTAATCAGTTGCTTATCAATACATATACATAAATTTTAGTGAGTTTGTGATTTTCTTTGTCTTATAGTAATCGATGCCAAGAATCTAATTCCCATGGATCCTAATGGATCTTCAGATCCATATGTGAAGCTTAAGTTGATTCCCGACTCTTCTGGGAGATCCAAACAGAAGACAAAGACAATAAAATCTTGCCTTAACCCAACTTGGAATGAATCCTTTGTTTTGTAAGTATTTCTGCTTGATAAAAGTATTGTAGCTGGTTTTTGTTGAAGTTATACATGAATGTTTATGATAATGCGAAATGCTTATCCCCGCGGTTAGCACAGAACACAAAAAGCATCTATGTGCATAAAGTTGCTTAGGTCAGTGATGGTCTATAATTAACAGTGTGCAACTGTCTCCGCTCATTTTGGAAATATTTTGAAATGCATGACATGCCTCCATCTGGTACCTGTCTTGGATAAATACAGAGTCAACAAACGGATAAAGTGTCTTGACCTAGGGATACCAAGCATATAGCCAGCGGCTGTTAACACGGGGAGCTGAAGTGGGGCACTGAAGTTAAGTGAGGGATCAGTTCAAGGATTAATTGAGGGGAATTGGTAATATTAGGTGATGCGATTTTTAAATACTTGAGCGTATTAATCTTTTTTCCTGAAAATTTCCAGTGGGTGGGAGATGTCAGGGGTAACTCTGTTCCCCCACACCCCTCCTTAGCTATGCCACTGCATTGGACTCAGAACTCATAATCTTCAATGCTGCACCACATAAAATGTCCTTGCACCTTAATCTGTTGTAAATTTTCAAAAGAATTAGGCAGACACCGCCTACGTATTTTTTTGTCACTTTGCCCTTCTCAGGTTTATTTCAAATGATAATTCTTAATGATAATGTATTAAAGCTTTTATCAAAAAGTTTCTATAAAAATATATAAATAAGGAATTTTTTTATCTTATTTAAAAATTAGTTTTGTCACATTAAAGTGATGATCATCCTTTTATGTCTGTTCAAAGTTAAACATTCTGAACCCCACCATCTATAATTGGCTGCAGTAAGGTATTTCTTGTCTTAATTTGCAAATGTTTTGCTGTGCGTCAGAAATCAAGGGAGTCTTAAATATCACTGAGAATGCGAATAATCCTTCAAGTCTTCTATAGCTTTGTCGCTTTTTACCTTAAGCCCTTCACAGCAATAAACTGGTTTCGTGGCATTGCATAAATTTCCAATAAGTGTTGACTAAGTATAGCTGTGGATAAGTTGATGAATAGAAAAATGAAATTGACTTTGATATATCATGGAATAGAGTATATTTGGCAAGTGTATATATAGAAAGGGAATTTTAGTTCGTCAATCATCAATAATTTAAACCTCATACTGCCATGGTTCTCATGTAATTGTAAACCCTTAATACCGTAATCCTGTCTAAATAAACTGTATTAATATATATTTTCATCAGCAACATGTTATTAGATAGTATTAATTTGGTAGTATGCAAATCATTTTTGCAAAACAAGAAAAAAAAAAGAGCATTCTAACAATTATACATTAGTCGCTGACTAATCCATCTCCGCTTTCTGTCAGTGCTTTTTATTTATTTATTTTTTTTTAAATTCAATTTTCCACTTTCATTTCATTTATTTATTTGACCAACATTTACAAATACAGTGACAATAAAATGCAACGTGTGAGAAAAACAAAAACTAATAATAATAATAATAATAATAGTTGGATTTGTAGAGCGCATCATGCGAAAAAGCCTCTATGCGCTTGGTGATTGAGCTCTTTGATTTGGACATTTTGAGAAAAAAGAAAGGTACCAGATGCAGGTACCAGATGCAGGCATGTCATGCATTTCAAAATATTCCCAAATGAGCGGAGACAGTTGCAAACTGAAATGCTGGACAGCGGTAGCTTAAGCAAAGTAGATTGCTTAACTCAGATGAGCCAGCTACCCCTTAAGAAAGAAACATAAATTCATAAAGAAACATAAGAAATTCCAAATTACATTTATACTAAAGAATGTGATGCTGTCATCGTAATTTAAATGATCTGTTGCGTGCCTTGTCATGTTCTCTTTAAAATCGCAATGGCAAACGGCTGCACCATGGTGTGTGCTTTAAAGGAGACGCTGAAGGTCAATATTGCTAGCGGTATTGAGATATTTAGCAGCAGTGGTGGATAGAGATAATCAGGAGAATTTTAGAACATTTGATCAACATATTAATTAATTTAAAGTACTTTTTCATCAATATTCAGTACACTCAAAGAGGAGGATAAAAACAAAAATAATTACGATCTCAAAGATTGTTGTCAAAGAATAAGAAGAGGTGGTAACATTAAATGGCAAAATATATTCATCTTGCTTCTATAAAAAAATAATTTTTATTATTTACCAGCCTATTTACCATAATGCTCTATTCACAAAGACATTCAGGGGCATACGGTGAAAAATCTAAGGGGGGGTCGAAACGAAAGCACAGGGGGAAAGCTGAACTTGGAACAATTTAGTGAAGCTTTCAGAATTCGCGGGGTGCGTTATTTGTGAGCATATTTAAAGGGCACTTTCTTTAAAATGGGGGGGTCGACAGCACCCCTGTCTCTTATACACATCTAGATGTGTATAAGAGACAGATTCTACACCATGCATATGAAACTAGAAACATTTTTCCTGGTCCTGGATGATAACAATGCCTTTGCACTTATCAGGTCACCCAGGTTAAAGAAGACATAAATGAAATAAAAAATAAACATTAACATTTAGTAACAAGATCACGATATCACTATGGCTGCTCAAGTCAATAACAAATTCATCCTTTTATTCTTATTAATATGTAAACATAAGTTCATATACTGCCTATGCATAGCATATGTATGTATTTCAATGTGAGTTTTTGTATATGTACGTGCACAGAAATTTTTTTTTTTTAAGGAATAATTTGAATACAGTATGCTATACTTTTGAAAAAAAATGCTTACTTTTGTGTTTCATTATTGTTATTGGCTTCCAACTGAACATTAGAATAAGAACAAAATTGTCATCAGCAAACGGATGTTAAAAAAATTAGAAAACAAAAATCGATGTTTTTAGGAATATTCTTGACACTGTATGTGTACTCTGTATGTGATAAAATTTATAATAGAGCACATGAAATAGAAAGATCCAGAGTAATTACAATTTATTTATCCTTTCTTATTATACTGTAGGCACTTTCATTACTATTGCACTGATTTTCAAAGTGGTACAGTGTAAACATATAACAAAACTATACAATGGAACTGTATATAATATAATAAAAATGACTATAGCTACAGAATATTCAAAAGACCAGTATAGGGTAGCAGTACAGTATAGAGCCAGATGTTGTTAAGGTTCCCAGGCTCAACGGTATTATTCATTAGTATAGTCATTATCATATTCAGCCATTATCGGTCGCTCCAAGCCTTAGCATGTCACTTCCATGGTCTCAATCGCTCACTCTCTGATACCAGTTTGTGTATCCCTAATATTGTTGAATTTCATCTCTCTATTGTTTCCTGTCGTCCTCTATATAAATCTACATAATGTCAATTTATCACAAATAATTTTATGTTATTTAAAATTTTGTGTTATTTAATTATTTGTATTTTTTTTTTAATTGAAGTTGAAAATGAATTTAACAGGTAGTAGATAATAGCTGGTACCGGTATGTTAAAAGGTAGTGATATCAACAACCCTGGATCTATATTTATTTTCCCAATGTACAAACTATAATTTATACAGAATATTCTGGTATTGTCACTCTATGGCTCAACAGAGACACTCAGGTCCAATACCTAATTGTTCTGTTTGTAACAGGATAAGACCATGGAAGAAATATATTCCTATAGTTAATATTTACAGTTTATTAACCCTGATGGATGAATTTTAATACTTAAATAATCATCTAGTAACCTTGAACTTTTCATTAATGATTATCGCTTGAATAATCTGCGAGTACACGGTACTTAATCAGATTTTTATATGAAGCATGCACCATAACACGAAGAGGGATTCACACGAAGAGACCCTTAGGGGAGAAGCAAGTTATGCAGTATAAAGTGCTATATAATTCCAACTACCTTACACCACACCATCAACTTGACAACAATTTATAACCCAACAGAATTATGACTTATGAAGTATCTGCTAAACTAAAGAGGGAGCTATGTAGTGTTTTTCTCACTTTCGGTCAGACTCAATTCAAATACTATCTAGATGAGAAACAAAATTTGATCATTCATCTTAAAGCTTCTAAAATACAGGTATTTAATTGACTGACTGACTTTTGAATTTTACTCTAAGTCTAAAAGAAATCTTGCCCTAATGAAATGTTCAAAGAAACATTATAATAAACTTTGGCCCTACCCTGTTGTATGAGAGGATTTGAACCATGGTCCTGGGATTGAAAGGCAAGCATATTAACTACCAAGCTACCGCGCCACTCATTAAGAATAACTCCAGAATTGCTTTAGCTAACAAAGACAGCTTGCAATAAAGAATAATCTAAATGTAGAAAATTCACATGAACTGTCATAGTGTACATTTCTATGACATTCTAGATGTGTATTCGCTAAAAGAGTTGTAAATCTCCTGATGATATCAAAAGTTTAATTGCTGTAGTATTTATCCACTCTCCAATTTAAAAAACATACAAAGCTGTTAAAAATATACACCATTGTGTTTTTTTTTATTATTATCGATTCTAGTGAATGTTCAAAATGTTGTTAGCATTGCGTATGCCACAGCACTGTGACTGTGTTTGAAATAAGATATTCTTCAAATGTATATTTATGGTAATGTAATCAAGTTCATATATGCAGAGTGAATTGAAAGCAAATGCTTTGCTTGTCGATTATTCATTTTAATAGAGCGTAAATGTGGGTGCTTGAATCTATAAACATTTTCTTTGTAGTAAATTTCACATTAAGTGGTTTATTGGTAAGTCTAGGACATTTTTTAGGTTTATAATGTAGTTTTAGTATACATATTATGGATTGCCTAAAATTAACGATATATTAAATATAATATATTATAATGAAATAATTTATTAAATATATCAACCCACAGATATTCATGAAATTTGCTTACAGTCCTACAATATAGTAGCAGATGGTTAACACAATTTATTGTAAACAAATTGATTTTTTTTTTTAGAAAGTAGTATTGTTCAATAACAATATGAACAATCAAAATTACTTTTGCTCTTGCTATTCCTGCTGTTGTTGTTGATGTTATTATATAATTTCTTTAAAAGTCAGACTCCGGAGGGAAAAAAAAATTTAATATGTTGTAGAACTGGTTTTTCTAAGACAAAAAAGTTGTTTGACAAAAAAAACTGGCGAACGGTGAACGAGATACAGATTTTTGAATATTTAAAAACTGGGAGAAAAAGGGGCGTAACCACCCATTTTTACACCTTTTTCCCCCAGTTTTGTTACTGCCCAACTGACCATGAGGCCACAACCTGATATATAACTTGAAGATTACAATATTTCTATATTATATTATTCGTCAGGAGGTATGCTCTGCCAAAAAATAATAAATTATACCTTTCTCTATAATTATACACATTTATAGTAGATTCTGCAGTTCTTGGTCAAATTTTGGACATTTATATTCATATTTGAGTGGGCAGTAATAAGAAACTATTTAAGTAAGAACTGATTTTTCTAAGACAGAAAAAAGTTGTTTGACAAAAAACTGAGGAACGGTGAACGAGATACAGATTTTTGAATATTTAAAAACTGGGAGAAAAAAGGGCGTAACCACCCATTTTTACACCTTTTTCCCTCAGTTTTTAAATATTCAAAAATCTGTATCTCATTCACCGTTGCTCAGTTTTTGATCAAACTACTTTTTATGTCTTAGAAAAATCATTTCTACAACAACGGAGCCTGACTTTAAAGCTCTGTCTACACTATCAAATTTTGTGACAAAAAAGTGTGATATGCCCATATATGGGCATGATGACATCACACCATGACCATATATAGGCATAGCATTACTATATATGGGCGTGTCACATTTTTTTGTCAAAGTAAATTTGATAGTGTGGATAGAGCTTAAGATTAAGTAGAATTTTGAATTATGTAAATTAATTATTATAGATAAACTGGTAGTGATTTTTTAAATCCTTCATTCAGTTATTCATGCATTCATTCATTTAATAAAATTAATTAAATTTTGAGGTAATAATGTAAAGTGCGTCATCAGAGTAGTATTGGTCCCTTCAGGATTAGAACCCCTGACCCACTAATGACCATTATGTTACTGCCCAACTGACCATGAGGCCACAACCTGATATATAACACATTTACACATTTACAGTAGATTCTGCAGTTCTTGGTCAAATTTTGGACATTTATATTCATATTTGAGTGGGCAGTAATAAGAAACTATTTAAAGTATTAAAGAGGTATGATGTTAAAATGAAGCTTTGTTTAGCAAAAGAAATCGCTTGCAATATGTACTGAATTAAACTTGAATTCACATACCATGTGCATGTCAAACATTTTTATAGAACTCAAAACCATCTGGAACACCCTCAATGGATGTTATATATTTGTCTGTCTATAGTTAACCATATGTGTATAATTAATTTGTGAAAAGTACTGTATGTAATTAGATAGATGGATTGGAATTTCAATTAAGTAATGTGTGTTGATACTGAATAAATTATTGTGTATTAAGTTAATACTAGATATAGATCCATCACATCTCATGTCAAACTACTCCTGCACATTATTACCTTAAAATTAATTAATTTTATTAAATGAATCAATGCATGAATGACTGAATGATTAAAGCATCATTACTATTCTATCTACTATACAGTAATTAATTTATATAATTCAAAATTCTATTAAACAATCTTTAAAAAAAATGATAATAATAACAACAGCAGTAGCAGGAACAGCAACATCAATTTTAAATTTCACTCATTTTTTTTTTTTACTAAATACATTGCAAATAAAATAATGCTTTTTTATTTGCTGTTGTGTATTCATGCACAATTGCTGATACGTGCAAACGAAACCGCTAAACGTTTACTCACGTAGTTATTACAGTAGCGTGCTTATCAGTATGCCATGTTCATATCAAATGGGGGAAGTCTCTCATTTTTTTTCGCATTAAATTACAAGAGAATCTGTCTGAAATTGAAATGCATGCATTATGATGGGAACTTAGTAGAGCATTTGAGACTTAAGACCAGTCATTAGTATTAGCAGGTGATCTCTATATCTGTATAATTAGATTAATTGCTGTAATTAAACTACAAACTATTTTGATCAACTGATTAAGAAAGGAATTAAGTCTTGTTTAATAATATTCACAATGCTGAAACCATAGATATAAGTTGGATGTGGTAGATTGTATATATTTTTCTCATAACTGTATTTGTGGTGACAATTGGCATTTACTCCCTTTTTTTCGCACTCCCTTCCACTCGAGCGCCTTCATCGTCCAAACTTCGATTCTCTGGAATTCTCTCTCTTCTTCCTGTTTTCCTACATTTTTTAACCGCAACACTTTCAAAAACCTCATCAAAAAACTCCCGCTAGACTGTATAGCCTAATACTAATTATTCCTTTTGAGGGCCTTTATTATAGGTTTTCCTTTGCCCAGCATCCTCTAATAAAACATTTAATTTGTAGAATATTACTAAAGAATCAACTAACCAAAATTTAAGTAAAAACATTTTTTTTACTATCTTCATTGCCATTTGGAGTTTTAAAATTATTATATTGTGTTTTCATAGTTGATATGTAATCTGAGCATAATTAATTAAAAATATTCCTAACCAATTACAGATCATTTTTTTAAAGTAACTTCAAGAATACAGTAACACTTGTCTGCCATGAAAAATTATGATTCTGTTGTATGCCCAACCCAGATAGGTGTTACCTTCACATAATATAAGATATTTTACAACCTTTTTGCAGATTATAATGAGATTCACATAGATAGCAGGTAATAGTCTCACATATGTGAAGGTTGTAACTATAAAACATTTTTTTTTTTTTTGCTTTTTTTCCCCTATAGAGGCAGCAGATTGGTGATAAAACAGGCGAGACAGAAAGAGAGCCACTATCAGTCGATCAAATTACCAACAAAGTATCTGACGTGATTCGAGCAAGTGATTTCAACTTCTTAACAGTTCTAGGCAAAGGAAGCTTTGGCAAGGTGAGCCTAGTATGGTGGATTTCAGTTGTTTATTAAAGACCTGTTTAGCTGACTATCAAATTTTATTTCACAAAAACATATGGCATGCCTAAATATGGTCATGATGACATCACATCTTGACTATATATAGACACACAATGATTTGATAATCTGGAGCTTTCTTGTTAAAAATTATGGATATTAAAGTAAACAATCATCTCATTGAAGTTTATAATTTAAAACAGAATGAGATTTCCACTAGACCCTCATAATGAGAGCACAACTTTCAGTTTCCACAGTGTGCTATTTAAAATACAATGTCGGTTGTTCCTCAACCCTGCTACCCAGGTCCAAAAAAACAGACTACAACCTACATAAATACCTACGTAAATACTTGACTGAAGAGACTTAAAATAAATTCAAATGAATTTACATGATACAGGGCTGTTTACATGGATTTTTGTTGTAGAAAAGGTAAAAAGTGAACAATAATGCAATAAATCAACCTGCTTGCAGTGAAGCAGATCTGAAACGTATTCATAATGAATAGAGTTCTAGATGAACAGAATTCCTAGATGAACTACAGGTCTTCTAAATATATGTCAAAACAATTTACTGATTTCTGATGGTACAAACAAGTTAATCAAAGTACGAAAGTGTTTTTTTCACAAAATCTTTATGGTACTCCTTCATATCTGAATGCTGTATAAACTAATATAAGGGACATTCTTTCAGACTAGACAGCAAATAAAGGTCGCTGTCATAAAATACGTTTGTAGGTCTGCTTCATTGATGAAGTTCTTCATTAATGTTTAGTCAGTAAGAAGCCAGATAGCACATTAGCGTCGAGTGTGTCGACATTACACTACACTAACCTCCGACTCGCGAAATTATTAATATTTTGTTATTGTCCTATAGAGCTATCACATAGTACATCTTCCTCCCAATGGACACGATTATCAGAGAATAAATTCTAATTTAAAATGAAGTTTGAGATTTAACAATTTCTTTGAATCTGTTAAGATCCTCTCTTTAAATTATAATTAAATTATAATCAGTGTGAATTTGAAGAGATATATTAACAATAACAATACGCATCTTACTACGCATTTTCTAATAACAATACTATATTTATGTAACACTGTTGAAAGTATCAGTATTTCTTAGTCTAGTTTTTTTCAGTAGGATTATAGAAATTTATCATCCTCAAAATTGTTATGTTATTTATTATTATTTTTAAATTTATTTTATTTTTATGTGTTGTAAATTTTTTGATGTAATTTTATTGACTGCACCTCAAATATTTTTTTCTGAATTGTATTATCATATATGATTATAGAGTGCTTAATAATTACTGAGATTTGTACTACTATGTGACATTATGTGACTGAATTGTATGGAAAGTCTGCAGAGTTCAAGATGAATTTCATGTCATTTAAATTGATATTTAACTCGATATACCCATAATTTGTGTAGGACATAAAATTTATTTCCATCATCATCTTCAATTTCTCGTCTTCATTTAACATTTGAGCATTGCTTTCAGCATTTTAATCCAGGTCATCTTGGTTGACCCACAATCAAATTCTGATGGCTGTATCAGAGAATAAAAGTTTAATAAATTTGAAACACAAAGTCAATTTTGTATTCAGATGTACGTACAAGTGTACTGGGGAGTATATATTAATAATTATTTGTCAGATAATTATATGAGTGTTGTATTTAGAATTGCTATTTAAGATCTACTGTGTACAGTTGATAATTTTTAATGGACAACATTGTGTGAGTCGCACTGTTACCCACACACGAACGTAGGCTGAAATGATTTATAGATTCTGTACACTGAAATGGAATGATAGCCGAAGTCAATTAAGCACAATAAAGAGAGGAGCGAACATTGTTTGTCTTCGCAGACAAACAGCAGAATGAAGCTGTAAATTGGTTGTTGTTGATTGTCTTAGTTTCATTTCTATTTTTTTTTTTCAAATCAACACCACAAACATAGATAAAAACCTCAAATAATAAATTGATAGTGTAAAAAATTGTAAACATAATAAAAAAAAAAACAGGTACCACAAAAAGATATTACAAATGATTATAATACGAAAATTATAATGATGATAATGGATATTATAGTAAACATAAAACATCCAGAAAGCTGAAATAATGCACAGAAGACAAGAGGGCGTAGCTTATACTGTTAATCTCTGGCAGTCTATAGTCATGTGCAATATTAGTGTTATATCAAAATCATAACATTAGACATGTTAAAGGAGTGAGTTTACTCAGATTCTACCTGGCACTTGAATCACCACAATGTATTTGTGATCAAGTGGTTATGTCGTTCGCCATGTATGGGAAAGGTCCTGGGTTTGAGTCCCAGTGGAGGCTGAGATTTTTTCATTAATTCTTGAATTTACTTTAAATTATATTATTTATTATATTGTCTATTTTTAAATATTCATCTTCTGCCAGGTTATTCCCATACACTCTATTCAATTCCTGTACTTTGATAATGATTTTTTAGATTTTAAATATTTCCATCTGAGAATAGTGACCTGAGTGACTCGAGAGATAAATGAAATTCACTGAAAATGAGTCACATCTTTACATAAAGAATAATAGTATAATGATTACTACAATTACTACTAATTTGTTTTTCTCCTTTACAGTCAATACCTCGTAATGTGAATTTGTGATATCTCACATCATGTCTTGAAAATAGTATTGATGAATAAACTATGAACTATACAGAAGACAAGAGTCATTATTCAAACGCATGTTATCTTTTCTGTCTTAGATATGATTTCTGCTCTGGAATATGAATAATTTAGAAAAATTTGATACATTATTATTGCTGTTAAATTATTGAATCATGTTATAGTATCACTTTAATAATGAGGATTTGCATATAATGATTATTTATGAGCAAATGCCATATGAACAGAATGATTTATTTTTGCCTCTCATCGTTCCACACCCTGTTTTAATCGTATGCATAATTTTAAAGAGTTTTCTTACCCAATGAGCATTAAGATGGGATTCTATTTAATTCCGAAATGCGTTTTATGATGCCCAATTTTGTAATTGGTTGCCAGGTTATGTTGGCTGAAAGGAAGGGTACTGACGAGCTTTACGCAATCAAGATTCTAAAGAAGGATGTAATTATACAAGATGATGATGTAGAATGTACAATGATAGAGAAGAGAGTGCTGGCACTGGCTCAGAAACCACCATTCCTCACCCAACTACATTCATGCTTTCAAACCCAGGTACTGTGAACTTTAAACTCTACCTAAACTTTAAGCAAGTTATTGCTGATTGAGTGATTGGGCTTATTCGACTGGTTTATTTTGTTGACTACGATTTTTTCATTGACAACAAAAATTAATGTTACCAGAGTGCGTTATCAGCGTTAAGTTATCCACGTGACTAAAACAAACATGGCCGATTGGTCAGTTTAGAAACAACAGTTGAGGTATAATTTTGATTAAACTCCAGAAAATAAAAATTATAATATTTACCAACATGAAGTCAAACAATAATTGTACAGGCTAACAGAATTCAAAAACTGGATGAAAAACATTTTTTATGAAAAATCTGTACTGCCACAAGTTTTCTATTAGACTGGTAGTCTTCATTAAGTAGGATTTTACCACTGCACAGTTGCGTGGTTTAAAGAAGAATGACCAGTCGAATACGGCCATTGATTGAATTTATTTCGCTCAGCAACTTAGCTTTGAGAAACTTACTGTAATCAACTAAATTCTGAGCAAGTAACCCTGCACAAGTTACTCTGAACCATAGAGGTATAATAAGAATACTAGAGCGCTAACAGCAATGTATTCGATGTTCGAAATACGCAGAGCTGTGTGTGTGTACCATCCAAGATGGCTGCCATAGATTCAGCCAATCAAATTTCGCCTG